CTCGAGTCCGAGTCTTCCCTTCTTCCCTCTGCTCCCAGCTCTGGGACAGACACACAACATGCAGGACCAGTGTAATGTGCAGCAATTGAGGCCACAAGGTCCTACAGGCTACCTCTCTGCAGAGGAAGCTACAAGAAGCATGTCCCTGCTTCTCCTTGCTGCACTCTAGGGAGAAAGCTTGCAGTTTTCTTTTCCTTTCCCTAGACCTAGCCTAGGAATGCACCATGCAGCTTGGCTCCTGGAAATGGTGCTTCTCCAGAGGAAGATGGTAGTCTCCCCCAAAACCTGGAATAGGTCAGAAGAAGGTGTCTGTTAAACACCCTCCAGGGACATCCCAGTGCTGTGTTCCTTTCTTAAGCACTTGCTCTTCAGAGAGCCGTAGACAGGATCCACACCTTGCAGGCTTTGTAAGACCTACGTAAAGGACTTGCTCTTCCAGTTGTCCCTCCCACAGTATCTGCACCTGGGGCACAGCACTGTTATCTCCACCAGCTCTCAGAAACCACATAAGATGCAAGAGCTGGCACACTTAGGATCTACTGAAAAGCTGTTCTAGGCATCCCATTACTTGACATCCCATGCCAGGAAGCAGGCCTGTTGCATGACCAATGAAACTGGAGCACCTGGGACACAAGCTAGCACAAACCCTTGACAAACGCCTGCCCTGCAACAGAAACTGCCCCACCACATGGCCTCACACCCAGGAATCTTCCAACCTGAGACACCAGACTGATGCCCAGGAAACCTTTCTCTAATTCCCCTGCTCCCACCTGTTTCCTGTGTGACCATGGCTGTTTTACCCCTAGTCTCTGGTTCTGGCAGTAGAACTGGCTTAAGCTCCTTCCTTCCTCCCACCTCCACAGGGTTAAAGCAAGAAAGAAGTAAACAGTGGCTACTTTGAAACTACTTTGAAAGCTGGTCTCATTGCCATGAGGCTTAGGAAGGTACACCCTCATCTTCTTCAGCTGAGAAAGAGGGATATTACCACCTCCCTATGTTACAAGACATATGAGACAAAGGGTTGGGACAAACATGAAAGATTATGAGATGCTCTGAAGATGAACCCTGCCACATCTTGGATTTGGTAATGATAAACTCCATACCCCTGCTCTACTTGGTGAAACAGGTCAAACAGGTTAAAAATAGTTTAAAAAATGCCAATGAAATCTGTCTGCAGTTTGAGTTAGGCTTCACTTGCCAGTGGGCAAGAGCACACCACTGAACAATTTTCCTATTGACCCAGCTTAATTTTTGAGTAGGCTCCCAGAAAGGGAAGCAAAGAACAAATAATCAGACAACAGGCCAACAGTTACCAAATGGCCAAAATCAAAGAACAGCTTTTATTGGCCAAAATAACCAAGAAACCATTTTCTTTCAATAAACAAAACAATTCCCTAACTCAAACACTGGTAAATCTTTGCTAACAAAATGAGATGCTAACAAACCCACAAACTTTACTTTTCAGTTTCTTCCTCTGGAAATATTCCTCCTAAAGAAATTACATTTGTCTCCTTACCGCCTGCTGTGCCACCAGAAGAATGACAAAACTCTCATTTAGGACAAGAGAACAAACACATTGCAGGGTACCAGTGTGCCCTTTTAGACAAAGGAAAAGAAGCTGTTGGTGTTTGCAAACACTTTACATGCAAAGTGTCTGAAACTAGTAATTCCCTCTTTTCTAAGGATACAAACATTTTACTACACAAACTATAGTTCTGGTGTGTTTCTTTTTTCATCCCAGGACACAGGTACAGTTGTGGCCTATCTAGAGTGTTAAAACTCAGACTCTCCCTGCAGTTTATCTGTTAACATTTCTCTATTCAGAAATCATGGTAGTTAAAAATAAAAATGGCTTACACTGAGTTCTCAAGGCAAATGTTCATACTAAAACTCAGCATTTGCTCATGTCAGTAAAACAAATACCAGCCAGGGAAGGCAGGTCCTTGCTCTCCCTGGTAACAGAAATCTTGGAGGAAGGAAAAAACCTAGAGAAAATGTGCCTGGGGGCAACGCACCAGTTCCAATGGAGAAATTCTCAGTAATATCTTCACTGATTTTTCACTTAAGCGGGATACATTAACAGAAGCCATTAAAAAAAATGTGGTTAATAGTTATGTGAATCTGTTCAACTTAATGACAGAGGTGAAAATTTAACAAAAAGGCAAAAATCTTAAAAAAAAAAGTTTACCTATTTATACACTGTGGTTTGTGAAGCATGACACATATCTGCAGTGAGCAGCGTGCTCTGCACGTGTCTTCTGAGGTGGGTGAGAAGGGGCAGCTGAAGCACACCACTGCTGCAGCAGTGAAACACCACTATGGAACTAGGGAGAATGTATTTCAGCTCACAGGTGTTACTGACTACTATTGCTGCTGTGCACAGAACAGCACCCTGTGTTTTGACAGAGGAACTCCACTGGAAATGGAGAGCCTCCTGCCCTAATCTAGATATAAGTTTACAAAACATTTTGAGGATCTAACATCCGTACTACACCTTTTGTAAGAAAATAGAGAGCAGCTTTTAGCTGCAGTTCTTCTAAACTACTGTAGGAAGACTTTGCTAGCATGCTTCCTAAATTGGCAACCATCTGAGGTAATCGATGATGCTGTTAAAATGAGCATCTTTCATTTCTCTCCACCTGCACCAGGTGTTGCTTCCTTATTGAGTCCTCTGATTGACAAGTCGTAAACCACTTCCTCAATTTTCTTAACATCGTATTTCAGGCCATCGTAACGTTTCCTCAGGGAGTCGTTCTTCAGGTTGAGGAGACGGAAGCCAGAATCCAGCTCGTTGATAAAAGTTGAGATGCGGAGAGGGCGAGAATAGTCACCAGCCGTGACACTGTTCACTGCCAGTCTAGACTATGAGAAGACAACATGCAGGGAGAACATCAGTGGAGGAACCCACCCAAATCACATCCCTAATCCCATCACTTACTTTACCAAATGAAGCAGTTTTGTTCCAGGCAGTCAGATTATTTATCCTTAGATCTACTTTTCTGTTGACCGTGATCCTGGATTTTCAATCAAGTGACTAGCTTAAATCTTAAAATATCAGTGAGGCACCACTCTTGCACACAGAGGGGTGGTTTGCTGAAAGTTCAGATCGAGGCCTTGTGTTTCGTAACTTCCAGGAACAACTTGGGAAGCTTAGAAAACACATTATTTTTCTAGGTCAGTTTCAATCCAAAGCTATGCATGAGTATCTTCCTTACCAGCTCACTGGCGAGAGTTAATACACCAGAGAGATAGTCTTCAATGTCCAGGTGAAAGCCCCGCTCTCGATCAGCTTCAACTAAGATGAAAACCAGAGTGGTAATCAGGTGGTGCTGAACATGAGCAAACCCAGCTAGTTGCAACTGTGTTTGTTCACTGAGCTCATTTAAAATATCAAGATTATGAAATACTATTACAAAAGAAAAGTCAGCCTTTCCCTGCATGTGATGTAATTACTGCCTCTCCTCCACATTTTGATTTAGCGTATCATATGTCCTCAGCTGGACATGCAACAGGTTGTAACTGATCCAACAATAACTGAATTTACATCCATACACCAAAGAGGGTGTATGAGGTCTGGCTCAGTTTTTAGAAATATATTCTGGTTTTGGTTTTGTGGTTTTGGTTTGTTTTTTTTTAAATCCTTTGCTCTGGGAGCACACAATTCTCTTACAGCATAAGAATTTTATCTGCTTTCCACACTTTTACACACCAAAAAGTGAGAGAACTGAGCTTAATCTCTGCATTACTCTTTCGGTACATTTATGCAATTTGAATTAATAATCTACATGGAAGATTTCTTGGGAAGAAATGAAGTTCTGCTGATTCCCTATACCTCTGAAAGCTATGCCTAAAAAAGTCACAAGGCTTTTCTCTTTGTTAGAATATTAACTTACTCCCAAGTATTTCTGCAACAGCTTCTCGGGTCACTAATGTTTCTGACTCCAAGTAGACTACAAATGCTGCCAGAAACACCAGCCGCTGAAGCACAAACCTCCAGTGCTCATGAAATCTGTTGAAGAAAACACCAAGTCAACATATACGTAAGTAACATCTATTACTGAAGAGCGAGGCAACAAGCATATGTTATGTATATGTATATATGTATAACATTATGTTTTCCACCTTTACACGTAGCACTTTGTGATATTTTTGGCCTATCTAAACAACACCAGCCTAAAGGCATCTCCTTGGTGCTCCAGAACTTCACCCCAGGACACCATGCTGGACGCTGGCATTCCTTCTTCCACCCCTCACACACCTACTCGGTTCATGGAGTTTTTCAGGTTGCCGTGCCCACAAGACAACCATCTTCTCTCCCATCTTCCCTCAGCAGATCTGAGCTGACAAGACTCTCGTCCTTTGAAATGTTCTTGCTAGACACTGTCCCCTTCTGGCAGCAGCAAAACAGAGGTGACAACTTCATTTTGTATCTGCAGTATCAAACAGCCATTTCATGACAGATTTGGAGCTGTTTTCAGACATGCCCCAAACCTAGCAAATTAACTGAAACTAATGGACCAGCAAATGCTCTGCTCCCAGAAACCAGAAGCAGCTCCAACAAAACATCATTCCTAAAGTTTTGGTTTTCTTTTTTTAAAAAATTTCCAGAATGAGAATTAAATACTAGATATTCTTTTAGTGAAATGTTACAAATAGTGTTTGAGCAAAAGTTTTTTTTATCTGTGCTGCTAAAAACCTCACAGTCCTCTACCACAATTTGCTTTTCAAACAGAAAGAAGCATTCAGACCATAAATCTTTAAATCATTCTTCCAAAGTAACAATGCCAACTATGCCCAGGCAATTCTCATTTCCATGTCTGGCTGTGTGTGATCCTGCACACCTGTAATACTGATCAGCAGGAAACTTGGTCTTCAGAGAGTCCAGCTGTATTTTCACTGTACCGAAGTGTTCACGAGCCTTCTGACATTTCTTAGGTACTGAAAAAGAAACAGCGCAACATTCAGTACTTGACAGAGAGCGAGTTTGTGTAAACAGAGAGTTTTCCCGTGTTGGCAGTACTATTTACACTCCTTTGTTGTCCAAGAGAAGTCTACTGACATGTGGAATCAATCTAAGAAATTCTCATTTTCACACCAGAGTCACACAGGTAGAGGAGAAACACTCCTGAGTTCCACGCTGTCTAATCTGCTCTAGTCCTTAGTTTCAAACTTGAGCCAAGATCCCCCAGTGTTATTTAAGAATCACTGCTAATCATTACTACTTCTATGAAACTTACGTCATGGATGAAGAACCCATTCTGTAATGGGCACTGACAGAAGAAAACTCTGCGAAGGTCACAGACCAAAAGGCAATGGGGGATACAAACAGATGGAGGCAGGAATGGATGAACATAAGAGTCAGTGTGTTGTTTCTCTGTGGAACAAAGGCACGTGGTAATACACTGAGCAGGGTGGCAAACGAGCAATGCTGGAGGAGAGATGAGAAGTAGAGATGGAGAAAGGCTGGAAAGGACACTGAGTGCGAGGCCTCATCTGAAGTAGGAGAGGAGCAGTTTTGTCTGAGGGTCTGTAAATATGCAAGAGCTGAGATCATGGGAAAAGTTATCTGAGGGGCAAGGGAGGGAGTCACAAGAGCAGCGACATGGTTAAAGCCCCATGCTATGAGCCCATCCACCCATCCGGAGTGGATGGGATGCGGACTGTGATGCAGAAAGGCGGGCATGCCAGAGATCAGGCATGAGCAGATAATGGGACATTTTAGGTTCTAGCTGTGTGGATGGAGTGAGAGGAAGGAGTGGCCACCTGGGCTGTGCAGGCTTTATAAAGAGAGAAACAAGATGTTCTCTCTTGCAGTGGTTTAGAAGAAAAAGCAGCCACTAGACCACAAGCAATAGGACAGCACTACACACAGCAGCTGGCAGGAGAAAGCGCACACACACACTGGGCAGTGCTGCCAAACAGAAAAGCAACTTTTCTGTCTCAATTTTAAAATCTTGGAATATTTTTTTCTTATGAATAAGACTTAGGTTAGATGAGGTGCAACATCCCTTCAGGAAACTGCTTTTCCTGCTTTCAGAGTGATGTATTTGAAGAAACTGGGTTTCAGCCTGACCAATGGATGTTATACCTCTGCAGAAAAATGGTCCCTTGTTTATGTGCCACCCACTGCCACCTCCCGTTTATTGACACAATTTACAGCCACACTGCTCCTGCAGCACCAAGGCCCTCATCAAACCACTATCTCTTAACTGAGGCCTTCTCAGAAATCCTGGTCACAGACCAAGGCAGGTAGGTCACCCTGGCAGGCTCTCCTGCACTTGATGTACAGAAGCAAGGGAAAATGTAGAGTCCTGCATCTGGTCAGGAACAACCCCAGGTTCCAGTATAGGTTGGGGAACGACCTGTTAGAGAGCAGGGGAGAGGGACCTGGGGGTCCTAGTGGACGACAGGATGACCATGAGCCAACACCGTGCCCTTGTGGCCAAGAAGGCCAATGGCATCCTGGGGTGCATTAGAAGGGGGGTGGTTAGTAGGTCGAGAGAGGTCCTCCTTCCCCTCTACTCTGCCCTGGTGAGACCCCATCTGGAATATTGTGTCCAGTTCTGGGCCCCTCAGTTCAAGAAGGACAGGAACCTGCTGGAGAGAGTCCAGCGAAGGGCAACAAAGATGATTAAGGGAGTGGAGCATCTCCCTTATGAGGAAAGACTGAGGGAGCTGGGTCTCTATAGTTTGGAGGAGACTGAGGGGTGACCTTATTAGTGTCTATAAATATATAAAGGGGGAGTGTCACGAGGATGGAGCCAGGCTCCATCAGTGGCAAACAATGATAGGACAAGGGGTAATGGGTACAAACTGGAACACAAGAGGTTCCACTTAAACTTGAGAAGAAACTTCTTCTCAGTGAGGGTGACAGAACACTGGAACAGGCTGCCCAGGGAGGTTGTGGAGTCTCCTTCCCTGGAGACATTCAAAACCCGCCTGGACACATTCCTGTGTAACATTATCTAGGTGTTCCTGCTCCGGCAGGGGGATTGGACTAGATGATCTTTCGAGGTCCCTTCCAATCTCTAGCATACTGTGATACTGTGAAGCTAAGATTAAATAAGATGCATAGAAGCTAAATCAGAAAGTTCTGATGGATGATTTCTATCAAACAAGCCCTACCAGAGTCACTTAAGTATACTTAAAAAGCTTCTTTCAATTAATAATGCACAACTTCTATTAAAAAAAAAACAACAACAACAAAACAAACAAAAAAGGGGGGCGGGTGGGGGGGCACTTAAAAAGAAAAGCTTCAGGATGCAGAAGGTGAAAGTGCTCTGTGTGACAGCCAGAATGAAAGAGACGTGTGAAGCTCACTGACAGCCAGCCTTTGAGCACCATCCTCAAACTGTGATGTCTGCCTCAGCTGTGTCAACCATTACCTAGCATTTGACGACAAAGTTCTGCCAAAGGAACCTGTGACAAAAATAAGCAGTCTTTACAGGAAAGTTTCTGACAAGCGCTCAGTGATACACACATAGCCTCCCAACTTCAAGCTATCCTCTTGCCTCCTTGGATACCACCACTGATGTTTGGCTAAACTTGACATAATGTAGTTCAAGAGCAAAGACATATTAAGCTGACTTTCAGCCTCTGAAGACCCTATCTGTCACTCAGATTCATGTCAGCTAACAGCAGGCTGCAGCACACCCTGCCCTGAACAGCTCTCCCTGCAGTTCTCAAATTCCATTTTGGACAGGGAACAGAGGAAGCTGAAGGAGATCCTCTAACCCTGTTCCAGAGGATGATGGCCTGAGGCTCTGCTGGTTTTCCTTCCCTTCCCCACAGCTAAATAAAGACTACAACTGCAAGTGTGTATCCCACAGCAGAGCACAGTCTCACGCTCAGTGTAGAGAACACAGTCAAGTCAGCACCACCAAACAGCTGTTGTCTGCGGGTAGGTGTCTGCCCTGCAGTAAAAGAGGTTAGATGAAAACTCAATGAAAACAGATTTAACTAGGAGGTATTTTAAGCTCCTGGAGAACAGAGGAAAGGCACTGGGAGGGCGAGACAATGTTTCAAATACCAACTAACCCATATTTCTATTAATGGAGCTCACTCCATCCCCTACCCTTCTCTTTAGCAGGAGGGACTGCTCAGCCTGGTACAAATCCCTTCCCTGTTTTCAGTAGTTCTCTGTCGCCTCCTTGAGTTTTCATCACTCTGTTTCAACTGATGATGGAACAGGAATTATAAACGACCAACCAACAGGCTGGGGAAGAAAGCTGACTCCCAGGTGACAGGGTACAAGAAGCCCTACAGCCTCTCTTGGCAGCAGCACCAGCTTCAACCAGCCACAGCAACACAGCTGCAGCCACCCAGCATCATTCACTACTCTGTCACCCGGGAACTTGTAGTAGTTAATAGTATTCTTGCTTTTTTATTAGTTTCCAGTTTATTATTTAATATTTTAATAGCTCAATATAGATTATTGATAGGATTCATGGTTTTTCTTATATCTTGGAATAAATAAATATAAACCTGTTTGCTGATGACACCAAGCTGTGTGGTTCGGTTGATACCCTGGAGGGAAGGAATGCCATCTAGAGGGACCTTGACATGCTTGTGAGGTGGGCTGATGCCAACCTCATGAAGTTTAACCATGCCAAGTGCAAGGTCCTACACCTGGGTCGGAGCAATCCCAGGCACAGCTACAGGCTGGGCAGAGAAGAGATTCAGAGCAGCCCTGCGGAGAAGGACTTGGGGGTGTTGGTTGATGAGAAAATGAACATGAGCCGGCTTCAGTGTGCGCTCACAGCCCAGAAAGCCAACCCTATCCTGGGCTGCATCACAAGGAGCGTGACCAGCAGGTCGAAGGAGGTGATCCTGCCCCTCTACTCTGCTCTTGTGAGACCTCATTTGGAGTATTGCGTGCAGTTCTGGGGTCCTCAACATAAAAAGGACATGGAACTGTTGGAACAAGTCCAGAGAAGGGCCACGAGGATGATCAGGGGACTGGAGCACCTCCCGTATGAAGATAGGCTGAGAAAGTTGGGGCTGTTCAGCCTGGAGAAGAGAAGGCTGCGTGGAGACCTCATAGCAGCTTTCCAGTATCTGGAGGGGGCCTATAGGGATGCTGGGGAGGGACTCTTCATTAGGGACTGCAGTGACAGGACAAGGGGTAACGGCTTCAAACTTAAACAGGGGAAGTTTAGATTGGCTATAAGAAGGAAATTCTTTCCTGTTAGGGTGGTGAGGCACTGGAATAGGCTGCCCAGGGAGGTTGTGAATGCTCCATCCCTGGCAGTGTTCAAGACCAGGCTGGACAAGGCCTTGGGTGATATGGTTTAGTGTGACGTGTCCCTGCCCATGACAGGGGGGTTGGAACTTGATGATCTTAAGGTCCTTTCCAACCCTAACTATTCTATGATTCTATGAAAAGTCTTGATACTACAAAGTCTCGCAAGAACTCTTTTGCAATGAATAATCCTCTCATAGCTACAAGTCATTGTTTATCCCTTTTTAATCTACTAAGGAAGTATCATTTCAGTTTCTTAGTCAAATTTTGGTACTGACTCAATGAGATGCTGTTGAAAAGCCACACAGACATTTAAGCACACTATGCTGCAGAACTACAACCACAACCAAATAAAACTGCAATCTAAATACGTGACATCTGACAAGCGCTACTTACCCCTCAAACAATCCTTCTGCTAACTGACATTGTATTATTTTGCTGTTAATCTTTCTTGATTTGCTTTATTGTTCTTCTAAATGATGAGAAACAGACAGGTCTATTATCATGAGCTAATGCCTAACCTACTAGGCATGTATTTGTTATCTTTGGTATTACAAGAATTATAAGATTAGGCTTTTTTTCTGGTGTTCACTTTTAACTCTTCTAAATCTGTTCTCAGACTCTGCAAGTTCCAGGACCAGCTCTCTCCCCTCAAAAAAGATCAATGGAAAATACACTGAGCCAGACAAAGGTCTCCACTATTCAATGCTGGAAAGCAATCCCTGAAGTTGATACCCACACAAAACAACATCCACAGGTTTTCCAGCTTAGAAAACTGAGTTTATGCTTGTGTAAATTAACCAATGATCAGCTGTAATCTTTACCACAGACAGATTCCCTAAGCAGGTGGGAGCTTCACTTGCCAGCAGAGGTCAAACCTCAGGAGTTGCATGTTGCTAAGCACATACCCTCTCAGGGGCCAGAGAAATCCCAGGCCACCAGCAGGCCATCAGGCTGGTAACAACCACTCAGCTCTGCAGGTGAATAAAGCAGCACCTGCTGAGGTTTATTCTTCTATTCACCTTCAGAGAGTGCCTTGACAGATTTCTCCTCTTCCTAAACCTTTCTCAAGAGTTTCCAGGAAAGTCAGGATGGTTCTGTCTTCTCAGGAGATGTTCGCTGACTTGAAAAAAATAACTTTTAAGTCATATATTTAAGGAAAAAAACCCTGTTTATTCCAGTAGTTTTGCCAGTGAGTTGAAGAGTGGGGATGGAGGAAGCAGAAAGAGCACATCTGGCACCTAGGTCTGTAGTGCTGTTCTTGTGCCCTGCAGGAATCAGTCTGGCCCAGAAACATTATGTCAAAAATCTTACACAAGTTTGGACTGAAAGCAAGGAATGAGGCTCCTTACAACCCAAACCTCAAAACCAGCAGAACAATTCCCTCATGTATGGCAAATGTACATCAAGGACAACTACTGCTTTATTGCTGGTCTTTGCAAATTCCCCTTAGATTTTACAGCACTGGGCAGATTTTACATACACACAGAGTCAGTCTCATACAAACCAGACTGGAGACCCCCTTTCCCTCACTATCCTGAGCACTCCCAGAGCATTCAGGATCACAGCTTATTGGGGGATAGGGTGAAGAGGTGAGGAAGGCAATACAAAGGCCACCAGTTGATGGTAAAATTACGAGAACATAAAAATCCATGTGCACATCGCTTTAAGGCAATCCTACATAGGAGCCAATGCAACGGCCCAGAAAGCGAACACCTCTAAGAAAAGCACGCTCTCCGGCACCGAGACAGCGACACAGCTGACAAGGGATGGGGGAAAGGGAAAAAGCGGCTCTCCCTGGGGATGCAATGGCAGCTTTTCTACTCGCATGGCTCGAGAACTCCCAGCTGCGCCCTTTTCCAGCCCCTGGGAAGCCCACTCAGGACACCCCGCGAGCGACCACACGAAGCCTGGGAGAGGGGCGCCCGTGACAGAGGGACCCGCTCGCCTCGAAGGGCACTTCCCGCCCCCCAGCGGCTGAGGGCGGCCGTGCGGGACTCACTGTCCTGGAAGCCGGTTCCCTGGTGCACGCCCTGCAGCAGCGTGAGGATCTCCCGGGCCGTCTGCTCCAGCGCCTGCACCACCTTCCGGATCTCCTGCGGGGACAGGCAGCGTCACGGGAGCACCGGACGCCCCCGGCCCGCCCCCGGCCCGCCACCCGCGCGCCCGGCCCCGCGCGCACCTCGCGGATGTCCTGGTCGGCGGTGAGGACGCCCTGCAGCGCGATGAACATGTCGCTCACCGACATAGCGCCCGTCCGCCCCCTCCCGCCGCTGGGGCCTCCCGCCAACGCAGGGGACCTGCTATGCCGTTGGCGCAGGGGCTGTCCCTCGCTGAGCCTGACCGCGCCGTGCCGGGCTGTCTAGCGCAGCGCCTGAGCGGCTGAAGGGGACAGCGCTGTCCGTGTTTCAAGCCCCTCTCCAGAAGGCCGCCGCTGCCGTGTGGGAGTTGCCACGCGACGTCATGCGGGCGGGGGCCGATCCGCAGCGCCGCGCACCGTTGCTAGGAGACAGCGCGCCGCTGTTCTGCACCTGCGCGCCCTCGCCGCCGCGCGACACCGCGTGCGAGGGTAGTGACGTCCTTCCGGCGGCGAGGGGGGTAGCATGGCGGCGGTGGCTCCGGCCCCGAGCCCGTCGTTCCTGGCCTTGGAGCCGCAGCTGCAGCGCGAGTTCCAGCAGAAGGTGCAACGGGTCCGCAAGAGCCGTGCGGCCAAGGTGAGCGGGGCGGAGGCGGGCGCGGGGCGGGGGCGGCCCGGCGGGGCAGGTCATGTCGTGGCCTGACGCACTGCTGTGTTCCGCAGGAGGAGCTGACGCCGGGCGTGGTGTACATTGGGCACCTCCCGCGGGGGCTCTGCGAGCCGCAGATGTACCAGTATTTCGAGCAGTTCGGGACGGTGACGCGGCTCCGCCTCTCCCGGAGCAAGAAGGTAACGCGCCTCGGGGAGCTGTGCCTCTCTCGGGCAGCTGGGCACCGCCGCTGCAGTTCCATGAGCGGGCAGAGGGGGGCTCCGTGCTCGGGTTGGTCGTCTCCGGAGTAATGGTTCCGAAACGGGACCCGGGCTGGTGGCGCGTGCGGCTTTCGTTGTTTCTGCGCTGCGGACAGGCGGTTTCAGCGGTACTTGATGTAGTCCCATTTTTTCTGTGAGTAAGTACACTTGCGTGAGAAGTGCTGCCAAGGTACACTAGTTCAAGCTGCAACGTGGAATGTGATGGGAAAGACTCCGGTTTAGCTTTCGTGGTGTTTTATGCTCAGTAAGTTTAACTTCTTCTAATTTCTGGGTCTGTCATCGTATCATAATATTGCTAGGTGACCTTGGTGACAATCACAGAATGACAATGATACAGGGCAGCTTTTTTGTAAATAGGTATTGACGAACAGTTTGTTTCATATGCATATGCTGATTTAGGATTAAATCCGGTGCTTTAAAGTGGAAGAAGGTAGATTTAGATTAGATATCAGGAAGAAGCTCTCCACTATGAGGGAGGCGAGGCACTGGCGGAGCTGTGGCTGCCACATCCCTGGCAGTGTTCAAGGCCAGGCTGGACAGGGCTTGGAGCAACCTGGTCTAGTGGGAAACGTCCTTGCATCTTTCTGAAGTTACTTGTGGTCAGCTGAGAATGGGTTGCGACAGTTCTTCAGTTATTAAAACATTGGCTCATATTTCTTTCTGTCATTGTTCACAGACTGGAAATAGCAAAGGCTATGGATTTATAGAGTTTGAGTCTGACGACGTGGCCAAAATTGTTGCAGACACAATGAACAACTACCTGTTTTCCGAAAGACTGCTGAAGTGTAAGTATAAGCTGAAATGTAAGGTGATTTTCTGCGGGGCTGAGTTTTTCTTCTTTCTCTGCATGTGTATAGAACACAGGCTTTTGGTCACTGCTACTGTTTTGCTCAAGGCTGATAATGCTCATTGTGTAATTTTGCAACACAATCTGAGGGAGTGGTGGGTTTTTCTGCAGAGACAGTTGCTGTAATGTGGAAATTCCTTATAATTTGTAACTGTGTCGGTGTAGTTAGACACAAGAGGCTTTTTTAATTAAAATATTAATCGACTTAGGGAGTTCGTCAGGCATGGTGACAGTAACACTTGGGTTATGCGATACATATGCAGCAACTTTTGGAAAACAAGTTTATCTGACTGTTTTCTGGGTGAAAATAAAAACGTGCTCTTTCCATCCATCCGTCCCCAGTCTCTTACTGGTGGGTATTCAGTTACTTTCCATGTTCTGTATTCACAAAACATGGTACAAGTGCTCTGCAGTAGGAGTGGATGATGTTATAATGAGGGCTAGTCAGGGTTATGTGGGTGCGTGTGGTAAGCAGGGTAGCTCTGCTCTAACCTGATGCCATATGTTCATGGTACAGGTCAGTTCATAGCTCCTGAAAGGGTCCATGAAAACCTCTTCAAAAACAGCAACAAGATATTCCGGAAGCCGTCCCAGCCTGCGGTCAGGCGGTACAATAGGATACGTTCACTTGTTCAGAAGGCAAAGATGACAAAGCGGTTGCTGCGGAAGGAGAAACTCTTACGGAAGAGGCTGGCTGAAAAGGGGCTCGATTACGACTTCCCAGGATTTGTAAGTTGGGCATCGTTTCAGTGAGTGTTTTATGCACATCATGTTTGCTGTGCTCAGTACAACAAAACCACATGTTTTGTGTAGAACTGATAAAAGGGCTGGAGCACCAGGGAGATGTTCTTGTGCTAAGAACTGTATAAGAGCTCCTGGAAAGTACTGTAGTGGTCTTGCTGGGTTGTACCCTGTGTGTGGGTTTACTTTTAGAGAAGCAAATAACAGCAAGGGGAAGACATTCCTTTTATTCTGGTAATACGAACAGTTCAATGTTCTGTGATTTTACTGTTTGACTGCAAACCACAGCAGAGTGACAGCGCTTAGCCCAAGCCCTGTGGGATGCTTTGGCAGTGTTGGCATTTGATGGCAGGTCCATCCCCAGACCCTGCCTACCCCAGCCAAGCATAGTGCTGGTTTGCAGAGTGCTTGGGTGAGGTACTTCTATTTTAAGCAGTGCTGTTAACATGGTATTATTTTAAATTCACATTAGCAGCTTTTCTTATGTTGTTTGGGTAGTTTTGTTCAAACCAGTTCACCCCTGCAGCACTGTCAGTCATTTTATTCATTGAAACCTAATTGCTGTAGCAAATTTGTAGTTACGAAGCCCATAGACTGTTAAGTGACTGTTTGTGTCTTCACACAAGGGTGTTTGTAGTGACCCACACCTGAAGTGTCTTGCTTCCTAGGTTGCACAGGAGCATTCCTTAAAGAGAAAGAAAGTTAAAACATCCAAGGAGTCAGAAGTTGACATTTCTTTGAGCAGCCAGGTAAGACCCCACAGTCCTTGTGGTGCCCAGCACCGTGCTCCACCATTCACACTTGGGTAAATGTTTCAAGTCTGCAGCTGGTATCTTCGTATTAATTTCAACACCTGAAAACCTTGACATTGTTTGCTTGATTTTTGTGTCAAAAGTAGCTGCTTCTGGATGTATTAACACTCCTGAACTGGGGAGGGTGGTTGGATCTTCTCAGTTCTTTCTCCCATGGGAACATTTAGCAGCAAAGGATTCTTCTCAGCATATTGTAACTAGCAGTGCTTATCCCAGTGTGCGTCCAGGCACCCTGCTATTCAGCAATAACTTGAAGCTACAGAAACACAGGGTGCTGGGGGCAGTCACCTCTACACCCTGTATGCCCGTGCTTTAAACTGGTACAAAGTCTCTCTTTGCTGGCATCCTTCTGTTGGTCTGTGCTATGTTATAGTATGAACCTGTTTTGACCAAAAGGAAGTTGAACCATTAACACAGTGTAGTGCTGTCAGTCCCCGTTTGCATGCTGCACTGTCCCTTCTCCCTCATGCTCTCCAGGCGTGGTATTCCAGTATATTGAAAACTAATGCCAGCTAGAAGTAGCAGTAAGATGAAAGCTGAGGTCATCAGGACTGAGATTTGGGATAGTGGCAGTCTAAACTGCCTGTAAAGTATTGCCATTTCTGTTTCGTTTCATCATTGTTGTGAATTTGGCTTTGTGTTGTTTTTTTTTTTAATGTTGCTGGATTTATTTGTGGTAATTGGGACGGGACTGGTTGTGAGTGCAACAGCATAACTCCTACATTCAGACAACTAAGTTCTGGGAACTTACCAAGGTATTGAAACTGGAATGTTTTGGCTCTGCTGTGGGCTTGAACGTAGCATTTCTGTTTGTTTGGTTGTGAGTTTCTTTTTCCCGTTTCTTTTCTTCTTGGTGCTTTGAGTCAGGAAATACGAAGTTTAGAAAGCAAATGTGCAAATTGGCATGTTAGAAGATGTGAATTACTTTAATTTGCCTTTCGCATATACCTTTTGAAGTTGATGCTTTTGTCTGAAGGAATAATGTCTGCAAAAATAGCTGCTTATAAAAGGAAAACCGTTTTCCCTAATGTTGAAGTTGTTAAGGAGAGCTGGACTGAGGTGCCTTGTGGAGACTCTCTCAGGCTTTGCAGTGAATTATGTTTTTTTGATCTCCTCAGGATCCTACCCCAGTCTGTACTCCAACAGTGCTCGAGCGCCGGAGAGCTGATCAGGTGGACGGTGATGCAGAGGACAATGAAATAACTCTCAAACTGCCCCCTGCCAGTACTAAGAATAGTGTGCCAAGAACAAAGAAGCAGCCAAGAAAAAGACCAAACCTGAAGAAACAGAAATAGACTTAAAATTTGGGTGGCTGTAGCCACGTTTTTTCTCATCTCAGAGTGGTTGAGTTGGTGTTTCTAAAGGTTCTGCTGCCCTGGTTTGGTTTGCCTTGACTAGACTGTTTCCGTCTTTCCTAGGCAAAGGATCCATTTACAAGTCCTCTCCCTCCTGTTTATCTGTCATCGGACCCATGGTCTCCTCTGCCTTTGAAGATGTTTTTGACTTTGTGCTCACAAGTGCCCATGCTGTGACATGCCTACAGTCAAGCCAGAACCTTCAGCTAATTCTTTAACTTGTCTCTAGCACTAGCTGTATTGAAACAATCTGAGGCTGTCCAGGCAGAGCTTGCTGATGCGGGCTCTATCTTACATTTGTAATTAATTATGGGTTATAAAAACCAAAAAGAAATTAACCATTTTTCAGCTGCATTGGCTCTTGGTAGTGGTTCTTCTGCTTAATTGAATGTCTGCTTTTCTTATGAGTTCTCACATATTTACCCAAATAGAGGGTAAAGGTTTTGGTTTTTTCCTAAGGAAGCCATCCCTTAAATTTCATCTGCTGTTTGTGCTCAGTCAAGATCTGCCTCTACTGTCCAGGGCAGAGGCAGAACACAAGCTGCCTGAGTGAGACAGTGCCTTTCAGCCCTGCTTTCAGCAATGCCTGAGAAACTTGGCCTTTGCCAAGGTGTGGGGTGGTTGCAGAAGTCTTGGAAAGCTGGGATTAGGAAGGTGGTGAGAAGAGGCAGAGGAAGATGTCTGCAGTCACTCGCATTCAAGATTCCCATTCCTTTCCCTATGCAGGCAAAATATTTGTGTTTGAGTAAACCCTGCTGGGGAAGATGCAGGGTGGCTGCTCTTTTGGCTGGTGGCTTAGCCAGAGTCACAGGTATGCTTTCATTCCTCAGTTGTGTAAAAGGCATTTCACTTTGCCAAGGTCCTAGTCATGCACTGTCGTGTTGCTTTACCTCTGGGCTGAGCAGGCAAAGGTAACTTGCTGATTCTGTGGGGCTTTGTCTGCCATAAGTGTGCCATTGCCTGGTTGAGAAAATGTTCAAGGACTTGCAAAGTGCAGCTGCTTTTAGAGGTACTTGTTGCTGAGCTGCAGAGACAAACCAAAGGTGACAAATAGCTTATGTACAGCTGTCCTCGGAGCAAGGCTGAGAATGCGCATCAGTAATCAGAGCAGTATGGGGTTTATTATTTCTGCTGTCCTTTGGGCTCTGCAGCACCTTGTCCCTGTATTTTAGTGTCACTGCCTGCATCTTCTTGTTCAAAGGTGATAAGCACATTGCAGTATTGTAATAAGCCTCTGGATGGGTGAGACACAAATGGGGTGACAGGTTTTTGTCGTCAGTTGTACGAGTTCAGAGAATTGAGTGTAACTTTGTTGTGCATCAAGATTTATCCCTGTTCCAACATAATCTGTCACAGCTGACTGCAGATAGTCAGTCTTGTTTGAAAATGCATCTTTACTGTGCAGTTAGAATTTGGATTTTATTGCAAATGTGAACTTACAGAAATTCCAGTTTGCATTTTGTGGTATGTACTTAGCCTTGACCTTTGCTTGTCTGAGTTGAAATGTTCTCTACTGCTCTTGGCTGAAGGTCAGACTTGGCAGAAGGCTTCAGAGGAAAGCCCAGGTAATAATAACTGGCTGCTCAGGTAGGCAGCTGGCACTAGTTCCTTGGCTATTTTGAGATGAGGGCTCCTGGCAGAGGAGAAGAAATCTGAACCATTGGCCTGGCTAATTCTGTCCTGCTTGGCCTGATCACTTGAATAATCATGTGATTGTAATGACATTTGCTCAGTAACTCAGATTAGATCATTCTCCTTTGTTGCTCTAAACTGTTGAGGAAGCCACCTGGATGAGAGCATCTGCATCAAATGCATGTCACCTTGAGCATGCCAGGGAGATCTTTTGGCCAGCTGCATGGTCACTGACTCTCCTTGCCTTTTAATAGCAGTGTTGCTGTCTACATCTGCAGGCTTTGTTCTTGTTTAATATGAAACAGGCAGAGTTCGTACCTGAGACCCCTGGAAAATACATCCTCAGCTAAGCCTTGAGATAAACATAATCAGAGTGGTTGGCAGGAGTTGCTTATTGGGTAGTAACTGACATGCAGCTTTGAAAAAACTTTTTTACTTTGACTTCGTACAGCAGCAGGAGAGAAACAAAATGCATCTGCCCAGGGTGGGCAGTTTTCCTTCAAAATCCCTATTCCTAACTTTGTGTTGTGCCAATACAGATGGCTTTTCGGTCCAGATAAACTGGAACGTGGCTGCACTTCTGCCTGCGGCTGTATCTCCCGGGTGCAGCCTGACAGCAGGGGGCAGCACACTTCAGTTGTATGGAGAAACGCAGGACAAGGTCTCCTGGAAAATGACCTCCCGGATTTATACAGAAACTTGTCTAGTCCCGGCAAGTGTGGAGTGACTGGCTGCACTGGTGTGACTAATGCATCTCTGAAGTGATTTAAGAGTATGAGAGAAACCTGAATATGTATCTTAATCAAATCTGCCTGTTTCTTTGGTGCTGCTACAAATATTCCTTTCAAGGCTGTGGAGTTAAAGCTGCTCTTAACCAAACCTGATTTATCTAGAGTAACTTACCTAGTGCAGTTCCAGGTTCACTGAAACTTAAGCAGCTCCATTCCCATACTTTCCATTCCAGTCCTTTGTCTTGCATTTTGAACCTGGAGTTGCTTTCTTCCTACTCTGCTTCTGTCACTGCGTTACTCTGTCCACTGTTCTGCCCCTGCCTGGGAGCCTGTGTCTGCTTGCAGCTTTCTTCTGTGTTTGTGGCTACTTTTCATGCTGCTGCCTGTGCCTGGGCTATATTGTCCAGCTGCAAGAGCTGCCAGGGACTTCCCTTCTATATGTCCCTTGTAAAGGTTTGTGCCTTTACGCTGGCACCCTGCTTGCTGTTTGCTCTCCATATTCACATGGCAGTTCAAGACCTTGATGGGTCTTCCTTTAATTGAGATCAGCTTAGATGGCAAAGCAAGGAAGCACAATTCTGTGTTGCTTGAGTAAAGCACAGTAATATGCAGGCTACAGCAAGGAACTCTCAGCAGAAGGGAAGCTGTTCTTGGAGACAATTTCTGTTTTTAGGCTGCCTGTGTTATTAATATACTGCTTGTCCTGGGAGCTGTACATAAGCAGAAATTCAGACACCTGATACTTGCCAAACATACTTTCCGTAGCAAGTGGGCAGACATGCTGTGTCATGAGTTCTTAGTCCTTGCACTGATTTTTATTTCTCAGCTCTCCAGTCGTTTTTTCATTCATATGGGACAAACCCAAATCTCCTGGCCACTGTTTTGGGGGCAGGCTATAAGGTGTTTTTACTGGGACACTAGGAGTGCTGGGGCTTTGATTTCAAGGCATGACTTGCGTTTCTGTAATAAGTGACTGGAACTGGTTCACTGCACACCTATGTATGTAGGACTGTTTTCGAGCTTCAGGCATGCCTAGGTGCCAGCACAGTCTGTTAATCTACGCTCATTTATTCTGATTTCTCTCTTTTGCAGAGAGAGCTTGCAATGGGAGCTGGGCTAAGGAGTGTACAGTATTTCCCAGCACATGAAGCACTGGCAGTAAAACAGGCAGGGGGAAGCAGAATTGGCTGCAAAATAGAGGGGGAAAAGGAATGATGAAGCGAATGCTCATCTCTAGAGAAAGACATCGGTGAATTTGGCAGTGTTTGACTGCTCAAAATTAAAGATGCAGTTGGATTGGGGTTTTTATTTGTTTTGCCTGTTAGATATGCTGTGGATGCCCAGGCTGCACAGTGCATCTGGAGTGTGCTGCAAACCATGGCACAAGTGCTAGTGCTTGCTCATGAGCCCTGAGTGGAGGAGAGCAGGCTGGGCAAGTGACACATGCTCTTGCCAGTAACAGGCCTGTTTGCTTGCATACCTGGCTTTTAAAATAGCTGCAGCCGCGAGGAGTGAGGCTAAAACTTGTTTGCAATTAGCTCATGGCTCAAGAGAGGATTTGTACATGGCTCTGAGGGGTGGCATCTTCTCCTCTCATAGTAAAGCACCAGTGAGGCTGGGGAGAGCTCTAGCAAACTCCTTCCTTCTGAATGCTGGGGTGCTGGGTGCTCGCTTTGTCTGTGTTATGTAGCCAGCCAGGGTAGGGCTGCATTGTGTGAGGTGCTATGCACATCCCTGCGCTGGTCAGGGTGTTGCAGGTGGAAGCCAGGCAAGTGGGTAACGAGTATGGCGGATGTGATCTCCATTAGGTATTTTCCAGGGATACTCATGGGTCCTTCTCTTGGACCAGACTCCTTCATTGTCCAAGATGCTGCTCAAACACATCCTGCTTTCCAGAGTTTACAATCTGACCCACAGAGTCTTGAAACATCCCTCTCTGGGCAGCAGTAATCTGCACCACCTTGGCCAGAGATATGCAGGGGACCACCCCAGAACTGAGGCAGTAGGGAATGACATTCAGTGTGTCACCCTGCTGCCTGACACCACTAATCCAGGCACATCCCTCCCTGCCCAAGGCCAGCAGCTGTCAGAGCAAGCCAGGGAAATGGTTAACTGCATGAATGAGAATTGCTAAAGGGAAACATTTTCTCATGCAGGGTGCAGCAAGGCCTCTCATCACTTCTCCTATCCAGCTTTAATTAAGCATATTGTAAGGACAGAGATTCTGGCTGCCCTGGGAGGCTTGGACTGGTTACATACCTAAGTGTCTGTGGCCAGTGACTGTGTGTATCTCCTGTGCTGGGAAAGGATAAGCTACAGAGAAGCTCCTATGTTAAGTCTTGACTCTGATCAGGGATGCAAATGCTGGTTTATAATTGTCTTCAAATGTGGTGTTGAAGAGAAGAGACGGGATTCTGAGGTCGAATGCTACAGTGCTGTGAGACAAGTGAGGTGGGTGTCTGCAGTGAGCCGTGGGCACTGGGGTCATCTCATTTCTGTGGCTAGGTGTTTGACCCTGCACTTGACCCATCACGTGGAGTCTAGGCCCTGGCACGGATCTGAAACTTGTTTAAAAGGGAAGAGAACAACAAGCAAAACTGTTTTTTAGGACAGTGATCCTGGAAAGCCCAGGGTTTTTTTCTGTGTTTTTCCAGTGCTGACCAAGATGAGAGCTTGGTGAGCAGGCACAGACCTGGAAATTGGGCTTCTTGCTCTGCAGTGCCACTGTGCACTGCTGCACTGTGCACAGTCCACAGCTCCACTGCTGCCAGTTTCCTGCAAGTGCTTGCACAAACCCCCAGGTTGCATGTATTTTGTTTTCTTTAGAACAAGCAGGGAAGTAGAGTTAATTCTGTCATGGTGGCTTCGCAAGGCTGGAAGTGTTGCTCCATTTTGAGAGTGCAGGCAGTACCTTGCTTGCTGGATGTACTCAGAGTCACTGAATCCAGCATGCCTGACAGAAGGCAGTGATGTGCTGGGGAGCGAGCAG